AATCGTGGTCTGACACAACTCCACCAATTTCTTTCTAAAAAACCGAGATACCACAAGCGCACTCTAGTCGCATTTCTTCCCGTTCGTATGGTGAGTGAATTGTAATACTGCAAATGATTTACGTGAGGCTGTTTTTGCAAAGGGTACCCCCCGAAGCTTTTAGTAAAAGGGAGATGCCATTCAAAAGAAACGTTCCTGACTTTATTAATCCAAACTGGTCGTTACAAAAGATGGGAAAGACTGGCTGGCGAGGATGTCATGCGTTGAAATAGTAACTACCTTGACAAGATTCTTCTTAGTTTGGAATGTGCATTCGAGTTACTTAGGTACACGATTAATAATAAACGGTGAAATTTTTCGCAACCCCTGACAATCCCCAAGGTGAACCTGATAGCCCTATAGGTCTTGAATTTGATTAATATAAGGTTGAAATGTTTAGCCCTGGAAACGTACTCGCATTGTGTTCCGTTTTTATGGAGATTCGCCAGATTTACTGGGATTCATTTGAGTGGTTTTCTGGAATGAGGTCCACACTAGTAGCCTCAAAAACCAACAGTCCACCAGGTTCAAAGTACTTGACTAGGAAGTCCTGAGAGGCCGGTCCATCAACAGACCCAACCAGGGCAGATAAGACTAGAATATACAATCAGGAACTCTTCTTGTCTGGAATGGTTTTCACAGCTTAGCATTAAGCCCAAACACACATACGTTGTGTTAATATTGAATGCGTCAGAGTTTTAATGGAAGTAATTTGGGTGGTAGGATAGTGTTAGGGAGGATGCTAGCGAACCAATGTCTAGCTTGATAATTATACCATATGAATGTCACCTGTTTCTGCTTTCTAGTAGGCTAAAACTGAGAATACCATCGGAAGGATACTAGAGTTAACAAGGTTCTTAGTACGACTTGGGAGGAGATAAACTGATAGAGAGCTAGCCAATTCCACAGAATGTAGGAAACCACTTGACGTCAAGTTAGGAGTGTTTAATGCAGGAATGGTTCTCTTGAATAACTCAGCAATGGGAGTGGAATAATTAGGAAGTATCTTTCACCTCCACAAAACCATGAGGGTATTTTAATATTTTATTCACAATGGTTCGTTTAAATAGCCACGATACGCCGCCAGCAAGTCAGCGCTGTCACCGTACTCAAATGTTGAGGTGAATCATCTGGAGACTGTAAGGGATTTTCCAAAATTAAGCGTACTGTTTCGCCTCCCACCTCCACGTCCTCATACACATTCAGCGATTAAAACAGAAATGCTAGTGCTGGGCTTGTCTTCTTCCGAATAACTTCGGTTCAAAGAATATTTCGCGACCAAAAACAACCGCATAATACACATGAGTCATATTCTCCAGCCATCTATTTTATAGTCAATTGCATGTGCACATAGAGAAAACGAATACCTGCTCATGGATGACAACATCTTTTCGTTGTTTGAAAAACCTCCAGAAATAAGCCGTTTATTATTGACAACGGGATAATTTAAACAAATCGAGATTCGCGTCGCAAAAAGGCTCTGACCTCATAGTTCAGTCAGTACGAAATTATCCAAGAGAGACTGAGTAGAGCCATTCATTAACATCTCTATCTGCAAATAGGTGCATGTACATCTGATGGGCCCCGAATGGATGAAACCAGCAATAGACTAAATAAAGCTTTTATTAACCTTACAAGCGGTGCCGTACCAGGCTCACTATCCTACCTTTGGTAGTAACGTCTGGTACAGACCCGATAACCTCAAAAATGCCTTCCACACAGTACTTAACTAGCATGTTCGTATGGACCAAAGTGTATCTATGTCGGTAACCATCATCGACAAGGTAAGTTCTAAGGCAACTGCGTTTTGGTGAGCTTTGGAATTTCGTACAACGTAGATGGGTGTTCCCTTAAGTGCCCGATAACCACATGTCCCTCCCTGCGACATCTTCCAATTCACGTTCCGTTTTTTGAATGACTATTAAGGACGGCGCCGAAACCGCCATCCCAGGACAACATGATGAATCCCTACAAGTTATTTGTAATGTTGGATGAGTCAGCTTCCCTGACTAATAAGTTGTTCAGTCAGATCGGTTCGAAATAACCGGGTGGTTAGACATTGATTTGAGTGGTCTAAGCTTACTCAACCTCATGGTTTGACCTCTTTTCCCAAAGTCGTTTGAGATGTTCACGCGCAGAACGCGACCCAGTTGCTGTTCGTCCACTGGAGTAGGATGTGTTTGAATTCAAGTCCGACTGGTTAAATTGTGTATTGGACTACACGATCATTTCAGCCAATTTTCTGAGCAACTGATTCGACAAGTCTGTCGTAGGTTATCAATGCGCCCTACTGATTTCACTAGAAACAACGTTTTTCTTGCATTTTTGAGATCCCATAAAATTCGATGTGCTTTAATTTGGTGCGATAATGATCGATCCTATTAGCTTGTTGAATACATAGTCCGTCGGCTTTGAACTTGGGTGAGGTTCAATTAGTTTACGGCGGTTACTGCACCCCATACGTGTGAAGTGTTGTTAGGACCACCAGTAACGGATAATAAAAGGAGAACAGAAGTAAAAGGATGACTCGAAAGAAAACTCAACCTAACCATCAAGCACCGCTAACAGACTAACAAACAAAAAATCCCGCCCAGCACGTGCCGCCACCTCCACTGAGTGACGGATAAACAATTAACTCGCAACTTTTGACCAACCGTTGCATAATCTCAACTTCAAATTTCTGGCATAACTGGTGGGCAATTAAGTCCATGCTGTGTATCCAACATACGACCATCTGCATAAATCCGTCTCATTAGCGCAATTCACGTAACAGAAGGCCACGGATTTAGCGCGCAACCAGCATACAATTCTAACTACTGCCTAAGGCTGATAAGTAATAAAATTACTTAAGGCATTTAGCCAACGAAACCTCGCTGAAGCACGGAAGAGAGCACGACCCAAACCAACGCAGGGGTTGCCACTTTCTCAGGTTGCACAGTTAGGTGTTAGGTTATTCAAATCATTAAAAGAACCAACGGTTACCCACAAGCGCTGAGACTTTAGAGAAACTACACTGCGGAACACTAACCGGAGTGCTCAGCTAAGGAGCATACCATACAGATGATTCTACGCGAGCGAACGCCAAAATACAATATCACAGTACCGCTACAAGGTACAAATGGCCGCAATACAAACCAGCAGTAAAACGGCACAGGAATGAACACACTCACAAAATGTTTGGACTGATTAAACACTGGAAGGACCAATTTCTTTAAAATTGTTCGCTAATCCATGTACAAGTACGATGCTTTATGACCATTGATCCTGCCAGGAAGCGTTCAAGCAAACATAGATCATACGACACGTTTTGTTTGATAAGCACCATGAGAAACATTACTCTTGTTAATTGGAAAATGTGGTCACGTTGTCCCCCCACCCAAAAAGGTCACCGGATGGGAAACAGTCGAGTACGTTTGTTCATATGCATGTGACATCCAGGAGGTAATCTTGGTGGTCCCCTTCAGAAGCTGTTTCTGATGTGCACGTTGAAACTAGTTTTAATTAGGTAAAATACCTAACCCGTAAGATGGCACAGCGATGAACAAGCTATCAGGTTCGTTACTCGACACCAAGTTGGAGAACATCACACTGTATGAATCTGTTCCCGAGCCAGTCACCCACATCAATTATACAGATTATATACTCCGCGAATGCGGTTCCTTAAAGACGAGATTCCCAAAACTTAATGCCTCACATGTAAACATGAAGCCACGCAGGAAAGTGAGTTTGATAAGCTCCTACCTTTCTTGGACATCCTGGCCTCAAGCAGACAACACGGATCAATGCAAATTATGTCATGTCGGGACATGGAGCGGTCTGTAAACCTGTTTCACTGCGGTTCGTTCTGCGTAAAACACTTCGCTTGTTCCTGTAGAATGAAAGATGTGAAATGAACCTGGTGTTTGTCTACCACAATCAATTCGGGATGTCTACACCTACAAACACTCCGAACCGCATTCTGAAGGGAATGCATACCGTCAGTAACCAAACCTTTAGTACTCTTTTGGATCAATAATTGACCACCCCCCTGATTGCGCCACTGTTTCCGGTAAACCATGATTCGGTATGCGCATCGAACATCCAAAGTCGGAACTTGCAGAGCTGGAGCACAACGTTATTTAACCTAATTGTTTTACTTCGCTAAAGCTGGATCCCGGAACACAGTATCCTCATCATGGCCATAGTACAGGAACATCTGACTGAGCCAACGGATGAACTTGGGAACCGGAAGGTGTCCCATGGAAACTCTTAGTCGTGATAATAGTCTGCTGGGAACTCTGAATACTCTTACTGATTTACTCGTCACTACACAGCGTGTTCTCTAATCAGCCGTCCCGTCGAATTAAAGCTGACGTGCCCTGTGTAATCAATCCACATGAAACACAAGCCACCTACACAATTGAAATTCTACGTGCTGAGTAAACATTTATCCTGACATGGCTGATGTTAGCATGTGACATACCGATTCACTCAATATCGCCAAATTTCGGTTCAGGACCGGGGGAAGTGAATAAGCTTCATAAGGAGCGGTCAGATGCAAGACAAAGTGGTACCGCAGTTCGGCGTTCCCGAGGGTCACCAAAAGAGGGTTATAGAGACATATTCGGATTGTTGACGGGTAGGTTGATATCTGAAATATTGGGGAACCATGTTTTTTCCACGGTTTAGGTCCATCAGCTGCCCATGACCGCCACGTTCATCCAACGAACAGCCCACAATTGTCATCAGACCACTCAGCTTTCACACTCTAAAGCAGTTCGACGACTGCTTGGTCTGATGCAAAATTAGGTTTTCTTTTTGAGTTGAACAGTTTTAACCGCACCCTTGAGCATTTCTGCAACTGCATTTCACAGTAAAATTTTACAACGCTACTGAAAGGATGCAAATCCTTGTCGCAGATTCTTAAAATTTGCGATTTTGCTTGGCCCGTAGGGTGCAGCGCAGAGCTGTGAGAAGAATATTTACGAAAATTGTATTTTATCACAACCAGACGAAGTAACAAACATTGTGAAGGGAAAGTAGTGGCAACGTGCAGGTAAAAAAATAACGGAATAAGGGTGCCAGGAAGCCCCAGCTGTTCGTAGGCTTACAGACATTTATATCGCTGGTATGGAGGTTGCCTGAGAACAAAATGGCGAAATGCAACGCGGCAATCTTTATCGAACAACAGTGATGATAATCACTTTGGCACTTTGGCATACCAATTCGACCGCAAGTATATATCATCTTCATGCCCTGTGGTGACGCCTGTGGATCTCTGCTCCTTGCGGTAGTCGTCCGGGGATTCCAAACACCAATTTGAACTGATCCGAAGAAACACCTCGTTGATTCAACCATTGAAACCGACTTTGATGTGCAAGAAAGAGTTCTTCAAACCCGTCTGGAAACCGACGACAGCGATAGCCCTCCTTACCGATCACCTCCCGATCTCTTAACTGTATGTGTTTCCATTGCAAGTTGCGTAAGCGACTCCAATACTCATCGGCCTAAGAATAAACAGCAAACAGAGAAAGGCACAAGTAGCATTTAAACGCAGTGACACGAAGTTGGAGTAGGGCTTCCCTGTCCTCATCCCGCCTTCATCCCGTAAAAACAACCCATTGTTACCAGGGGAGATTCCACTAACAGCGACAGAAACTTTGGTTGGGGATAACTAGGATCCTAGTTTCGACGACATCTCCACATCAGCATCATCCGTATCAATCAATAAAAAAGGTCAACTACCCATTAAAAAACAATTATTTGGACTCTTCATGCCGCACAAGCTGTCCACAGGTACGTGGTGCTTCAGTAAATGTTATGTGATGGGCTAACTACAAGCCACAAGTTCACAAACATGCTGTGACACCAGTTGAGTTAGAGCATTCTGCTGCAACCAGTCAGATGCAGTTGAATACAGGAATATCAAGTTAATAGCGCAACCCATTGTTAAGAGTTCTACCAGGCCTCGAACAAGTGGCTTTTCTCCACAGGAACCACACGCTAGGCCATGGATGACGAGTGATATTTTGATGGACCATCCTGAATCGAGGCAGCTCAGTGGCTTAGGCGTGGACTATAGTTCGAAACCAGCCTCTGCATCTCGACTGCTCCTGGCAGTATCTCAGCCCCCGTGGTTTCCTCGGGTTGAAGGGCAGCTGGGCACCAAAAAAGTTACAGCTGAGCGAGTTTCTCCCTGGTAGCCATTTACCAAGGGTCTTGTTCGTATTCACACCATTCTCGTCTGACCAGTCGTCCCCCTGTTCTGGCGTAATTATTCTGGTGAATCCACAAAAAAGAGGGGAAGCACTGGGGTCGATTTTCGCTCTTATAAGAGCTCATCAGCAGTGCATATCCCATGGCCATCCCGGGGTTTGAACTCCGAACACATACGAGGCGAGCGTGTTATTACTACTCCATCAGCGCACGTTGGACGCATCCGAATTTCCACGTTTGAACGGGCGAAGGTGTTCACACTTGAGTGATTGGTGTGTCCGACTCATCATCGAACGACGACCCAGTAACTGTTCTGGTTGTGACAATCGATCAACCCGCCTGTCAGGATTTCCCAATCAGGTAGCGCCACAGACGCTTCAAACCCGTTAGACAACTTTATTGATATCTGTTGTGGGGTTTGTGGGATATGTATCGTTCATATTGAGGTGTCGGGAGTTCAAACCGCGGCGCGGTTATTGGATATGCACTGCTGATGAGCTTTAATAGGAACGAAGCTCGAGTCAAGTGCTTACCTCCTTTGGTGTGGACTCACTAGAATAATTACAACGACAGCGATGTGGGCATGAACAATACATATCCCGCAAACCCCACAACAGATACCAGGGTTCTCTCTTGAGTCTATCAAGACTATGGTTCAGAATTTTGACAAAATGTTGGACAAGAAAAGTGGTTGGTTACTAAGCTCCCTTGTAAAGATGACAGAGGCTGTCGTTCAGATGGCGGAACATAATCAACTTCCGTACACAACGTGGAGTGGGGCTATAACCGAGATAAACAGGTTATAACTAGGTTACTTACTTTGTGTGCCTCACCTTCAGCAATCACTAGCCCTGGTCTACCGGGCATACAACAACCGGTCAGGTTTAATTCGGCTGCCCACTCCAAGATCAGACGTCGTTTGATGGGACTTCGTATATGATGACTGACAATCCATAAGCAGACGATCGACTTTTCATAGTCACCAGCATTTGCGCGCGGTGGATCGACCGACGCAGGTAACTGCTCAATTGCTGGATCGGTCGAATTTTGTTGTCCGTGCCGCTGTTGCTGTGCTGCTATTTCGGACTGAACCCATTCGATCGCCGAACATACTACTGGCTCACCGGTTCGAGCTACTTCTTCCAACCATGTGTTGAAACGGCTGGAGAGGAGACGCTCATTAATTCCAGTCGCCTTGGAACAAGGGAGAAGACGGATGGTCACAATAGGCAGCACTGGATCGGCAGAATCACCCGAAGGATATCCTGGTGGCAGGTGAACAGTGAGTTCCACCTCCTCACGTAGCTAGCACGAAATAGGACAGTAATGGAGGTGTAGTAATCCACAATCCCTTCAAGAGTGAACAACCAAAAAACGATAGAATTAATAACAAATGCATGTCTCTGAAACCGTCTTGTAGTAAACGCCACCGAAGTAATGAGGCGAGCAAGGCCAAAAGACTACAAATTACCCAAATTGATGCCAGTAAAACGTTTTTAGTGATGAAAACAACTTCAAACTGCAGAACTCTGCTCTTTGGAGTTTACACTGAAGCACAACAAGAAAACACCAAACACAACAGTTCAGATAAAACGACGTGGATAAAACGACTGGCAAACTGGTGAATTCAATCGAAATTTCGTTAACTAGGTCATTCCGGATGGGGATTAAGTGTCGATCTACACCTAATCCCGGCACTACCGTTTCTGCCGCACGATAACAAGACAAAGTGTGTAAGTTTACGAATCGGAACATGCATCCACGTAGCTTATGAAAGTAACGCAGCTTCCGCACCACGCGTTCAAGTCCTTATAATGATTTCTTCTGAGCATGGATAGGAACTCCAATGGAACCCATGGAGACTGATTAAAAGAAGTCGATTACATAAATGAAGTTTTGACGGAAAGCATACTTCCAACGGTAACTGATGGAAGTACCTAGTGAAGCTGAAATGCCTTCCTTGGAATTCCTACTGTATTGAATGTTAAATTTTGAATTCCAGTAGGCAAAAACAACAAGTGGTTTATAAGTTGGCTCGCACACATGACCTTATACCTACTTAGCACCACACGTATGACCTTCATGTTAGTACATGCGATATATCCGAACATCTTATGTGCTCTCGTCATTTCACCTCATAACTTACTGGAGGGGAAATCAAGCAGTCGTTTTTATTTTGCACGGTATGTTATGTTATGAAACGGTATGAAAGATTCACGGCAAACGTGTATGCCTGTGACTCAAAAACAGCTGCCAACAGATGCCTGGTACTATACTTCTCATCAAGGAGACACCAGAAATGTGGAAACTAACCTTCAATACAAAGCCAATTGTTCGCTGATTTTCCGGCATCCAAGAATCTAGACCTTCCGTATCCTCGAAAATCAATTCCTCCCCTGGTTGAAACATAGACTTCAACAGTTCGATTTCTGAGTCCCTTGAGCCTGAACATGACATGATGGGAAATCACATTTCCCGAAATGACTTGGAGTCCTGTGGAGAAAAGCGGATAGACGAAAGAAATAGAATATATTCGACCGTGCAAATTACCACTGATTTTCACTTTTAAGACCAATCGAATAAAGCCTCTATCTCAATGGTAACTTGTCACTATTCACTGTTGAAGTCCATTGGAGTACAGCTATTGGAGTACAAGCAAAGACCATCATAAGCAATACAGCTCAACACATAGCTATCAATAGCCTTTGTTCAATCTGCCGACAGCAGCTCCATACGAACTGGTCATTTTTTACAAATCTCGACCAAGATGGTTAGGCCATTTAGATTTTCACGTTTAACCTGTACCATTGATGATTCACTCCAGACAGGGTTTGTCTAGATAAAGGGTTTGCTGATATCCTAAGCTCGTGACCGAAACAGGGCAGTTCGTTCATTTGTACTGAGGGGCCTACCACTTGGCAGCTGTACAGATATCACATCAAGGGAGACGTGAAAGCGCCCGCAGTCTATTTGTCATCATCATCATTGACAACAACACCAGAAGAGAACACTGGTGCTTCGCTACCGTACAACTGCGTCAGCTCATTTGAACATAGGCTGCCAGTCGAGAGAGAAAACGAAATATGGAGCGGAGCCTGGGACAACCGGAATACAAACCGACAGCAGGAACGCAAATGTACTGGATTAGCCACCAGATCACTGTTTTCAGCCAAGCGCGGGGAAAATCACGTATAGCCTATGATTTACCCCATTTCGTAACAACCCCCCATTTCCTTGTGCCATGTCAAATTATGTCTACCTCTAGGATTTCGTCACGTAGAATAAGACAAAAAGAACAACGTTCTCTGCAGGCACCAACTCGGAACGTGCAGCAGAAAGTCCAGTCGGCTTAACTTGCAGTAGTGGGTACATTCTTCAAGTGAAGTGCTGCCTGCTCCACAAAACACCTTTTCCTGATCACCTCATCACACACACGATTTGGATAAGTTCAATAGAACCGATAATGGTTTGTCTCTTATCTAAGTTCTCGCTAGCTCTACATTGACTACGAGTGGGCAACTCCTGCTGGCGCCGGCTGGCATAGTTGAAACCATGACTAGGTGGTGGTGGGAACGCAAAACGGGCGTTTGTAAAAACGTGTGCGCCAAACCAATAGTCCAGATACCCATATATTCTTCCGGAGCAGCTAGTAGTCCGTGTGCCGGTATGAGATGAGCATTACTCATTATTGTGGTCGGCGAGAAATTTGGTAGGAGGACAGCCATGTTTATCGAGTGGTCCATCGCACGAGATACATGCGTCCAAACAAGTTCTGAGTTTCTGACCCACGCATAACCCGGCTAAGGTACAGTCAAATCGGCCGATGCAAGTTGAGAAACAAGTCGTTGTACGGATTGTTTATTGGTGCAACCCCATGATGGCACCAGACAGCGGACACATCGAGTAGGGCATGGAAACACCCTATATCAATATTGATCAGTATGGACCGATCTTTGTCAACCATGCCGGTTATTGACCATCCGCTGGTCCACCCTGACGTTGCCAATCGGTCGGAACCAGACCTGGATGAGTGGAACTGGGATGAGCAGCTTTACGACGTTGGTCCGACTATGCAGAGAACAGAGGTTGAACGGGTGGTGGTGGGAGACCGGAAACTCTGTATCGACATTTTTACCCTGGCCCAGATAGAACTCGCCGTGTGCCATCACAACCAGCCATGACAACCAGTATATGCCCAACGAGGGGATGAATTACTGCAATACGAATCATCTGAGCGAAGAGGATGGTGCTCCACGTGCCCACGATCCACGCAGCGCTTCAATCTCTGGCTGTTTCTGTGAATCGGACTATGAGGTGTACGCCAAAATAACCAGCTTTGATCGAAGTCCTCGGTTTAGGTCAATGAGCGCCAGCTGGAAACTGGAACCAACTACTCCGAGCAGAGACAAACCTTTGTTGGCGCGAAGTCGTTCCAGTTCTTCGGCCGTGCCACGTGAACCTCCCTTCAACTTTGACTCCGGATTAGATGGCGAAACATTTCGAGTGACGGCTGAAGCTGCTGTTGCAAACCCCATCCGGCTGAGTTGCATTTTACTACAATGGGCGAAGCGCAAGACACGTGATTGAATCTATGATTCACCCACCACCGGTACGATGACCGTGACGTCGCCTGTCTGTCGTGAACACAGCGACAAAGCCAAAATTAGTGACTTTATCTTCTGCTTTCCCAGAAACATCGACAAAATCGATTAGCGGCCGAGATCGCGTAGCAGTGGCTCAAGACTCATTTGGTCAGTCCAGTGACCGAAGCTGATTTTCAGGTACCCCTATTCACGTGACAACTGTCCAAGCAATCCCATCAACCTTACCAGTGTGCCTCCAGTTCAGCAAGTCTTCAGATCAGATGCTCGTGCTCATAGTGCACAATATGTGTCAGGAAAATTATTTCATGACAAACCTGGTTACCTTGGAACTGGCTCGTCCCTCTTCGGGTGTAAGGCGAAGCTTTCTCGATTGTGGAATGACTTATCTGCATTCAAACAGGTCGCCCGATCTATCCCGCCAACGGTACAGTGTTCCAAAGCCTTTTGTAGTTTCAACTTCCTCGCCCAGCACAAGCCAAGCTCCTTTTTCTTCGGTCGCATTTCGGCTTCTATTCCAAACGTCTCGTCGGTCACTGTTTCATCTCATTGGCCTACGGTCCCGCTCCACCACCACCGCATGTGGTGGTTTCATCTCCATCAAGACCAAAGTGTCCACCTCTAATGCCACGTCCACGGAAATCGGTCTCTGACAACAGTTCGGAACGTCCACCAAGACTTTACCAAAGCACTGCAATTTTTATTCTGCGTTATACACGTGCGTGTACTTCCTCAGTGAATCATTGGCGATAAATTAGGTGCACTAAAAAGAGTACAACACGAGGGTAGATTTATTCCCAGCGTTGATAACGGCATACTTTATTGATGTGACGGTGCTGGGGTCACCAACCAGCACATCCACGGGACCAATCGCCATGTCCAACCCATCAACTATCGGGAGGCGGGGCAGCGTGGAGCGAGATGTTTGCAGTCAATTGGGAGATGCTGATGTCTAGGATAACGCTGCAGTGAGTGGGATGAAAAACAACTGGGCTAAGGATGCTGGAACTGGTCGGAATTGCTAGTGTTATTGATCTAGTGATGCCAGGGCTGTCGAGCTGAACGTTGCCACAAGGAGTCTACCCCCTCAACGTTCAGACCATCGGGTCTGCCACGAAGCAGATCGTTCCCTTCAGTGTTAGTGAACTGTGATTTCTTGCAAGTTCCTCATGGTATTCGGACTGGGATAAAAATTGAAGGAAAATTGCTCCGCGATGCAGGCTCTCGGCATGACATAACAAGCTCTCTTGAACGCCTAAGGAGCTTATTGGGTTCGACAATCCTGAATCAAGCCAACTAGTGGTTGCACCCATCTAGCCTCCCCGATGACACCACGGACACCGGTATCTCGGGCGCAAACGTGCGTACGTACATACTCTGAACAGACGCGATCGGAATGCACACATCAAAACCGAATTGAGAGACAACAAATGATCTTGCTAGTGATGCGCTCGAAGTTGTTTGAAATACATCGAAAACATAAGGTGGCCAGGCATGTCCCACCACGTCCGACTGACAGATGACAATGGCCCATTCAGAGGCCATATAGCCACTATTCAGCTCGGTTTATCAACAGCCAGCGGTGTCTAGCTGCATACAATCTACCTCATTCAAAGACACAGGATATCCAAATACCAGCTGTCATGCGTAGGAGGGATCGCATCTTGAGGGAAAGCCGGGACTGTTGGAGGAAAAAGGAGGCTGGAGGCCATAAGCGCATCAATGCACAGGATCAAATGATTGAGGCCGAGATTATAACAGTGTGTAGAACCAGATATTGGCCGACGGCTAAATTATTCATCACAGCTGAATGTATACCACCCAGTGTTCTAGAGCATGGTCTTTATTACATATTCGACTTGCAATATTATCTTCGATTAATCACTTTTAAGCCGTGTTTTGCAAGTCTTCAGTGTATCCCATACTGCACTGGTCTCTTCCAAGTATTGAGGCATTTGTTCCCACTATACCTCTCTGTCCACATACAGGCTAAGTTTTAGCTGTCGTTTAACCAGTTGTGTAGCTCCAAAACAAAAAGTATAGAGCGCCTCGCATCAAGATGTAGCGATGAATCTTCTGGAATCCACAACATCCGTTTGTGCGCTCGGATGGACGACAAACAAAGTTCTTGACACCATATACAGTCGTGGTTATCTCATCCCGGTTACGGTCAATGTATTCCAAGGAGAAATTGCATTGCACTGTAGGCCCAGACATGTTGCCCAAACTTATGGAGAATAAAGTTTCTCTACTACTAGACGAGGAGCTCGTTTCCAGGGGAGTCTGATGAAGATCTGCCTCAGAAAGATCAAGAATGAAACCGCGCCAACAGTCACTGATGGCCATCTGGTTAGTTTGACTCCAGGACTGCTCAACGAGGACACCGGTTAGTACAAAGGCGCCAAATGCGTCTAAATGTAGCATTCCCGTGGAAAATCTAATCACTACAAAGACGTTTACCGCCATCATTATGATAATGACCAGGAAGCAAAACGTACACATAACTACGAAATAACCTAATTGTACGCCAACAGGGACGTTGAATAACGGTGCCGTAGCGCGATTCTTCCTAGGTGGACTATCTGACGGTTTTTTAACGATCCACTAATCGAGTTTTACGGTTAAATAGCCGTGAAGAACAGTTTGCGGCTAACAACCGCAACATAACTGTTACGTTACAACCTATACTGATAACCACACGGTTAAGCGTGCAAATCGTCGGGCCCGTTGCAGGAAATAAGGCCTGGTAACCGAATCTTTACACGTTGCTGCACATTATCCTTCTGACCGCTTATGGAGACGGTTCAATAACTCGGGTGATCCGGTGTCATTATTGACCGATTAGGCAGAGCACTTGCAGAACGGAAAACAAGAATACAACAAAAATATATATTAATGTGCGAAAATGAATGTTCCATTCATTGATCCCAATGAATCTTACTTGCTAAGTGATTGAGACTTA